CAACAACAACAGTCTTGAAAGTCACTCTCTCTCTCAGCCTCACACTCTTAGCTTCAAGGCACACAACAGTCTTGGAAGTCACACTCTCTCAGCCTCATGGCAAACCCTTTCTAAACAAACCTTGCCAAGGAAACCCTCCTTCTCTCACCAGCTTTCCCTCCCCACCTCACGCGTATCCTCCTGGACCAGGAGGATGAGGAGGAACAGGAGGAAAGATGGGGGGGAAAGCAGGGGAGAGAAGAAGGAGGACCAGGAGGACAAAGAAGAAAGGTGGGAGGAGGGGAAAAAAGGTGGGGAGAGAAGAAGGAGACCTCCTCTTCCTTCTCGTCTTCCTCCTTCTCTCCCTGGCTCCTTCCCGCCTCGCACCTTTATCTTCTTCGTCCTCCTGTTCCTTATACCCGGCGTATAAGACAATCCCCAATTTTAACCCCAGATTTTCCTGGTTAAAAAGTCATCTTACACGCTGGAAAATACGGTACTTGAGATCAGTGATTTCCATTTCACAGTTTTGTTCAGTTTGACAAGAGCTACATGAATGTCTGCAAATTAATGGTAAGAGCGGGGTATAAATACTCAATAATAATAATAATAATAATAATAATAATAATAATATTCATGGCTGTTTGCCTGAGGACACAGGGCATCATGGTCTAACGGTGTACAGACATTGTACAGAGCTACTGATTGAGAGCTCTGAGTATGCTCTTCCACATTACTCTCCCTATTCTCTCCCTATTCTTATTTCATGTTCTTGCCTTTAAGTCATTTCTCATTTATGGTGAACTTAAGGCTAGAATGTCACAAGGTTTTTTCTTCACAAGATTTGTCCTGAGGAAATTTGTCATTACCTTCCTCTGACGCTGAGAATGTGACTTGACCGAAGTCACTCAGTGGATTTCCATAGCTAAGCAAGGATTTAAACCCTGATCTGCTGAGTTCTAGTCCAGCACCCAAACCACTACCCCACACAGCTACTTATTAAACTAGAGAAAATGAACACCAAGAAATTAATCTCAAAACAAGTGAATCTCAACAAATCGGGAAAATGTATAGAGGTTGAGCCCGGCTTATTGAGGGGCAGAAGTTATTTTCCTGAAGACAAGAGCAGACACTTTGATGGCTATGGCCACGGTGAAAATGCAAGAGTATTGTTGGCCTCATGGCCTCCAGTATCTTATATGTGTGACTTTACATGTGACAAATACAACATAAGTTTCATCAGAGTGTTTACCCATTTTTGTGGTTTGAGACTTGCTTTGGTTATGGTTGATCCAGTACAACCTTTTACAGCACATATCTTTCTTACAGTGGAAGTTGCCTGTGTTAACACATCTATCACAAGATGAAGAGCTCATTGTCACCATCATATCATCCAAGGTCAATGGCTTTCAAGAAATCAAAAACATGACATCAATGCCCTAAAATTCTTGACTGGCCCTTTAACTGCCCTGACTCAGTGCTAGGGAATCATGGCAACTGTAGTTTATTGTGGCACCAGCGCTCTCTGACAGAAGGCTCGATGTCTCAGAAAAAAATACAGTTCCCATGATGCCCTAGCACTGAGCCAGGGCAGTTAAAGTAGACTCAATTTGCACTATTTCTAGCAGTCTGCAAAGGCCTGACTGTCATGAAGGCATTTAGAACATTCTGCTATTTGGTGGGAACACACAGTTGAGAACAACACTGTTCTGGTGATGCTGTAGTGGTGTCACCAACCTAAGTTTGCTTTGCTCGCACTGATGACATATTACTCCTACAGAACTTTATATAAGTTTATATAAACGACAACTTCATACTGTCATTCCAAAATACAGTTAAAACTATTTGCATTGTAATATATTTCAGTGTTTGGGGATAGAAAGTCTATCTTTCTTTCTTTCCAGTATTTTTACATTGTGACAGATTTTATTGAGTCCCTAAACTTTGGTCAAGCCAGATTTTGGAAGGAAAAACTATAACCGTGAAAGTGGATTTTTCTTCTCTCTGTATCTACACACCCCTGGATCATCACCAGGGAGTCCCTCAATCCTCTGAAGGAAATTAGGGATAAGGTGGAGGGAGGACTGTGTTGTGTTAAGATAATTAATTTTACCACTAAATGTCTCTTCCTCTTGGGGAAGTACAAAGTTGAATAGGAACCCTTATATTTTAAATAACAACAACAACAACAACAACAATAATAATACATATTTGTGTGCATGTTCCATCATATCTTGGCAAAGTCATTTGAGGTGAGATGTATCTTCATTCTTTGTAGATTTGGGTCAAGCACTTCTTACTGGATATTTATCAGTAACCTTTTGTGTTGTATAGGCTACAGTAGCAACATTTGTTTGATTCAGTTGACTATAAAGTTTTAAAGGTGTGCCATTTCTAGAGTGATTGAAAATATGTGATTTTAAAAAAGGCCAATAGGAACCATTTTATAAATGCTGATTTCCATGGTTGTCTACAAACAAGAGTTAATATTTCTCAAGGTGGAGCTAAGGTGGCATTATCTGAGAGAACAAAATGTGCTTTTCTTGTTCAGAACCAGATTTTGTTCATGCAAATTTGTGTACCCATGTATTATAATCCTATGCATTTTACTTGGAAGTCCCACTGAAATCAATAATTCAGTAATACGTGTACATGACCTTTAATGAATCTGAGTCATACTACTTAATAAGTTAAGTTTTTTAAAAAAAATCAGGTGGCAATCAAGAAAATCCAGCTTTAAATCACTTTTTAGCTGCAGAGGTCACAGATAACAAGTCACAGAATCACAGAATCATAGAGTTGGAAGAGACCACAAGGGCCATCCAGTCCCCTGCCATGTGGGAACTCAAAATCAAACCATCCCCGACAGATGGCCATCCAGTCTCTGTTTAAAGACCTCTAAAGAAGGAGACTCTACCAACCTCCGAGGGAATGTGTTCCACTGTTGAACAGCTCTCATTGTCAGGAAGTTCCTCCTAATGTTGAAGTGGAATCTCTTCTCCTGTAGCTTGCATCCATTGTTCTGGGTCCTGTTCTCAGGAGCAACAGAAAACAAGCTAGCTCCCTCCTCAATATGACATCCCTTCAAATATTTAAAGAGGGCTATCATATCCCCTCTTAACCGTCTCTTCTCCAGGCTAAACATACCCAATTCCCTAAGTCGTTCCTCATAGGGCATAATTTCCAAATCCTTCACCATTTTAATCGCTTTCCTCTGGACACGCTCCAGTTTTTCAACATCTTTTTTGAACTGTGGTGCCCAGAACTGGACACAGTATTCCAGGTGGGGCCTGACCAAAGCAGAATACAGTGGCACTATTACTTCCCTTGATCTAGATACTATACTTCTATGAATGCAGCCTAAAATCGCATTGGCCTTTTTAGCTGCAGCATCACACTGTTGACTCATATTCAACTTGTGGTCTACTAGGACTCCTAGATCCCTTTTACACGTAGTCTCATTAAGCCATGCATTTCATTTTTTACCTTAAGTGCAGTATCTTACATTTCTCCGTGTTGAAATTCATTTTGTTAGCTTTGGCCCAGCTTTCTAATTTATTAAGATCATTTTGAGTGTTCATCCTGTCCTCTGTGGTATTGGCTATTCCTCTTATTTGGTGTCATCTGCAGATTTGGTAAGCATACCCCCTTGTGTCTAAGTTTAACGTATTCACTAAGTCCTTGTGTCTAAGTTTAACGTATCCACTAGAATTGCTGTTAGGATAAAAGGAGAAAACCAATGTATTCCTTTTTGCTGGGTTGAATAAAAAGTGGAATTGATAAAATGCAGGCATTTGTATCTGCACAAAGAGAAGACTGAATGTAGACTACTTTTAAGTATCACATGATACAGAACTTTGTGCTGTGTACATGCAGGAGTATTATATCAATGTCATTGTTAAATGTCCTGTTAAATAAGGAAGAATTAATACTTCAGTACCTGTTATCTTGTTAATCAAACTTGTAAGAAACGTCTGGCATTTAATATCATCTTTAATTAATGAAAGGTTCTCTAATGAAAGAGAAGAGGAGACATCGGTTACACAAGTTTTTGTGTCTCAGAGTTGGAAAGCCAATGCGGAAAACATTTGTATCACAGGCAAGTGCATCAATGCAGCAGTATGCACAAAGGGATAAGAAACATGAATACTGGTTTGCTGTGCCACAGGAGAGGTAAGATGGGGCATTTTCTCTGTAAATAAAGGAGTGTTTTCTCTCCCCCCCTCCCCCAGTACTTTTAAGCTGCTTTTTATTTCTTTCATGCTGAGAAGTTAATAACATTGCTGCAAGACATTAATTGCACTAATCTTTTTAAGGGTCTCCATGTGATCCAGACCCTGGTGAATTTTGATTTCAGGCATGCAAAGAGAATACAGGAGAAGGAAGTGTGCTGGCCTTGCCTCCCATCTTCACTCCAGTCTTCACTTTGGTGGTGTGAAAAATAGCAGTAATGAACAAGAGAACATTTTCTATGCTCAGAGGGTCTCCACTTTAACCAGAAGCCTGGAATTCTGGCTCATACAGAGAGCATCTACATGTATATGAGGCTTTTCTCTTCAGAATTGTCAGTTTTTGGTATTGTCAAAGTGGCAGTGGAGAGCACATTCCCTTTCTGATGTATTAGTTTAACACATTTTTGTACTCCTGAGTATGACACAGTAGTTAAACTATCTCCAGGATGAGATACCGGTAATTATTGTGTTCTGTTTTTGTTTTTGTTTCTTGTTTTTGAGGATTGTGTGATGTGAGCTATTGTGTTGATGGGTGATAAAGTTACAGAATGGATGTAACCTACACAACTAGGGTGTGAATGGACAGTGGCAGCTGAGAGTAATACTAGCATCAGGAAAATGTGAGAACAGCTGTGAAAAATATGAATTTCATACAAAGAGTTGTTAGAAATGGGTCTCAAGAAAATGTCAGACTCATAATGCTTGCAACAATTCTAGGTTGAGGTCACATTACATACTATATAAAAATTTATTGTAGAGTTGGCAGAATGTATTAAACCTATCATACAACTGAAGCAAGATTTTCCTTTTCCAAATAAAATTTACCATATTTTAAGGGTTTTCATTTAATTTTGGGGAAAAAAATTAGTAAAAGAAGGCATAATAGAGATTCATAGAATAATTCATGGTTTGAAGAAAGTGGGTTGAGTGGGGAACTGGTCTCCCTCATCTGTAATATGTGGAATAGTTTAATCTGATAAAATTTATTAGTAAGATAGTTGGAACAGGCAAAAGGAAATACAGTGGTACCTCGACATACGAGTGCCCTGATATACGAGTGTTTTGAGATACGAGCCGCTGAGCGAGCAATATTTTGCTTTGAGATGAGAGCAAGATTTGAGATACGAGGAATCGCACACTACACCGCTGCACACGACCCCAACAATGGGGAAAATTGCTTTGAGATACGAGCAATTTGACATACGAGCAAGGTTACGGAACGAATTAAACTCGTATGTCAAGGTACCACTGTACTCTCTTTCTTATATGGCATAATAAAGCTGTGGAATTTGCTGCTGAAGATGTGTTGGTGTCTCCCAACTTGGATGGGTTTAAAAGGAAATTTATAAATACTTGGGAGATAATTCTGTCAATGTCTAATAGTCAAAATGGATATAAGGATTTTTTTTTTTTTTGTCTAAACCAGCTCTGAGTGTAGCATGCCACTGAACTGATGTTGCTAGATAGCAACAATTGCCTTCATAGTATGTCTCTGAGAGCCACTAGGTAGACCTTGGGGTATATGATCCATAAGAATGTCAGACAACCTGTGTGGAATCAGACCAAATCCTATCTAGCATAGTAATGATTTTACTCCCACACTAGCCAGTCACGTACATGGGGGATGTCCATTGGTAGTCCAGTAACAAAATATCACCCTCAAGTGCATGTTTACCAGCAACTAGTATTCAGAGACATACTGCGTGTTGTCTCTGATACTGGAAGTATTACATAATCACTGATAACTTCATTGGCCATGAAT